AAAAAAAATCAATTTTTTATTTTTTTATTTTATATATTTTTCGCCGGTCCGGTTTGATTTCAAACCATAATTAAAATTCTCAAACCTAAACCAAACCGTTTTTGATCGGTTTGGTTTGGTTCAAAACCATTTCGTTGACGGGTTCACGTGGCATCAAATCGCCGGTTTCGAAATTGCGATTTCGGTTCAGTTTTCATGTTTAGCGGTTTTTACTTACAGCCCTAGACGCAGTTGTCCAGGAAAAAAGATAAAGGAGATGAATGTGCAAGTGGAGGAGAAAATTGAGGAAATAGACAATCCCGAAGATTTAAATCTACAACTGTCAAGGAGTGCACTATTAATGACGAGATACAACTGGCTCGTAAAGAATTAATGACGGTACGATAGCTTCATGCCATCTAATCTTCTAGCTAGCAGCATGCTTATGTGGGATACTAAATTAGTGAGATTATAATTGTTCAACAAGAGTTTCAGTGCCGTATAAGCGATAATGCATTGCAAAAAAATCAGTCAGATAGCAAAGTAGTGGATGATGAGGTGGCTCCCAATTGATATGTTCTTAATTTCAGTTACGTATTCGTTGATTAATCACTAGTCAGCAAGCCATGAATATTTCCAATTTGTCTTCTTTGCTTTTAGTCGTTATGCCATGAATATTTACTTTCAGGGTTTGCGTGAGATGCTAAGTAGCAGTCGCGCTAATATTGGGATAAAGATGATGGGAGAAATTGACGTGAAAGAGTTCAAGAATGCATGCAATTTGAGATTCCCACCTGAAGAAGCTGAGATAAAGCCTAAAGGCCATCGCTTTTTGCTCCCTATGGCAAGAGAAACTTAAAAATCCCAAATGGCACCAGTCAAAGTGATCACAGATGATAAGGGGAATCCGCAGGCGGGTCATTAATGATCTGAACTCATTTCAGTCTATATTTTCGTAAAGTTTTCTCTTTCAGCAGGCTTAAATTTCTAACAGATCCGCACACACTAACTTAAGATATTGATGCTCTATTGTTCCAATAAGCTTCTGAATTTTGTTTGAACGTGATTTAGGATTCAAAGGCGGTCTCTGTGCCTTTACGTACTTGATGTATGATTGGTAGAGAACCATGTGGAAATTATATATTAAACAGTCTCGCTGCAAGTGTAGGAAATATTGAACGACGATGATGAATTACTAAGAAACCTTGAAGGATGAATGGGGCAACAAAATTTATGATGCAGTTACTGCTGCCTTTGGTGAAATGAATGAATACAACCCAAGTGGTCGGTATGTGGTTCCCGAGCTGTGGAGCTACAAGGAAACTAGGAAGGCGACTCTGAAGGAAGTAATCAATTACATCTTCAAGCAAGTGAAGACTCTCAAGCGCAAGAGATGAGTTCTGGTGAGTCTTTCTCTGTATATGTGCTCTAATTTCACATTCAGTAAAAAAAAATGCATGTTTTGAACGCAATTAAAAAAGAATGGGAAAAATGGATACAAGAAATATCCTGCGATCATCTTCAAATGTCATAAACTGTTATGTATAATCTCCCTCTGTTGCCACTTCCGAACATGCTGTATCATTCACTTAACATAGTTAATCATATCACTTTGCGATTAGAGTTCTTAGTATCCACAGCTTCATTGAAAGAAATATAAACAATATTAATCTGCAGAACATGAAATACTAGCCTCCAAGCTTCTGAATGCCAATTCCCCTGGAAATTCAAGCAAGTTAACTTCTCCAAATTCTGTAGATTTTGATGGTCAAAAGTAACAGAACTCTGTATTAATAGTCTTGAATTCATCCAACGGCAGGCATAATTCCAACTATTCAAAAATCCTGTCTTAAACCTGGACAAGAATCCAACTTTTGATTGGATTAGTGATACATTCCCATTGATTAAAGAACCAGAACCATAAATTTTGAAGCAGAACAACAACAAAAACCAACACACAGAAATATTTCATTAAATAAACAAGACTACAATACATTTAATACCCCTATGATTTCACTTTTTTTTTTTCTTCTTATCCTCAATTTGTATTCTGTCCATTCTCAACGCCTAAACCGTAGAGCACACCGGAATACTTCTCCAGGGAACCAGTAAAAAAGTACTCCTTCAACTTCCTGAAAGTAGAAGATTTGAGCAAACTATCTGAACCCGCCTGGTGACAAACCCCAACTCGCTCCACCTCCAAAAACTCGGCCAGCTTATTCAACCCCCCGTGTAGAATGTTACAGAACTTCATCAAATGCTTAATATCGTAAATCACGGGAAAATACACAAGGATCATCGTAAAGAACCCCTCCTGTGTATCAGGCAAGCTCTGGCAAGTCAAGAGCTTGAGCAAGTATCCAAAATCATAGCCGCCACTATGAAACGTTACCCAGTGAACATTATCGTTTAAAACAATCCCAGAGGACATCAAAAGCACCCCAAATCGCTTGGCATCAATTCCCTTCTCATTATTTTTCGCAAAATCAATGCCACTCTGGCGCAGCAATTCAATCGAATCATTGGCGAATAAATCCTCATTCGGATTGAAATCCCGGAAATTGAATTGCCAAATGCAATGCTTGTCCGTACCACAAGTGGGCAAGTTCCCATTTTCGTCCGAAAATGTAAGCCCTAATTGAATCAGCTTTAATAAATCCACATTGTCTTTCATAGTTTGGTAATGATAATCACTCAAATTGTTGAAATTGCCCGATGGCCGGATTACAATACCCGGGAACTCAGTATCCAAGGCAATAAATGGGTAATCATTGACAATTTCACGAATTAGGGCAAATTCTTGGTCCACATTATCAGCCCAAACCTCCCGGATCTGAATCGATTCGCTTTTGGGTAAAAGCGACATCTCCTGCAAAGATATTAATAGATTAATCTCTTCAACGAATTTAAAAGATTTTGTCTTAATTAAATTTTGAACTTTTGGAGCACCTTGATCTGTCAAAAACCTTCCAATTCCAAATAAAACCTGCATAAAATCCAGAAAATGCATAATCAACCACTAATTAACCAAATTCCAACAAACCCGTACAAAAAGAATAATACCCATATGAGAAATGTTATTTAAAACACCGAATACCTTATGAAATCAACAAAACTTGGATCTTGAACCAACGAGTCAATGAAATTCTATTATAAGTTAAACCCGGTACCAAAATATACAAACACACATATATCAATATGCATGTTGGCCATGACAAAGTTTCAGGGTTTTTGGCTCGGGCGGGAGGGATATGATAACGAATGGAAGGCGGCGATGAGTACAAAAATAGGCAAGTTAAATGGATAATAGAATTATATAAGCCGACGAGGCTTCAATTATATAAGCCGACGAGACTTCAAGCATTTTCAATATATTCACTATCAAGTTAGGGCAAGCCATTGCTTACTTGAGAAGTAGAAAATCGACAAAAATTATGGAATCACACCCTATTCCACCATCACATCTCACTAGTCTGAAATCAAAAGTTCACATTAACCACGGCACCAATACCATCACTTTCTTAAGCTATGAAATTTACCTTTTTTAATCAATAAAATGGTTAAACCACAGGGAATTGGGAATTAGGTTATTAAATGGAAAGTTTAAAGAAACAATAAATGCACTAACTTAAGGAGACTGACCATATTTGCAAATTAATTGTGATATAAACGAGTTTTGGAAGATTAAGAAGCAATATATAAATCATTTATACCACTAAAACTGATTGAACGGCAACAATTATATAAAATAAGAACAC